ACAAAGCCTCATAAAGGACATTACCATGTTGATTTAAATAAGCTTTCAGCTAAAGAGTCAGTTCAGCACCCAGGACAGTCTAGTTATTTACTCACCTGTAGTCATACCTGGGTACAATCTTTTCTCATGTATGTAATCCTGATGTTATCAGGACTTCGCAGACATTTTGTAGCCTTGATATTAGCATTTAATATATGGTTTTAGATACTACATTTCAATGAGGTCACAAAAATGATGTTACTGCCATTAATGCAAACCCGCATGACAATTCTAAAAAGCAGAGATTCTTAGATTTCTATTGATGTATAACATAATCGGTGTTCGTTTTGTGGAGAAAAGGAAACAAAAACTAAAAAAAAAAATTAAAGTAGTACCCACTATTATAAATGCGTCTGGAAACCCCTGCGCTGAGATCACGTACTGGTCAGAAACTCCAAAACTCCAGCAGCTTAAGGGTGTAAGTTAAAGCGTAGTGTGTAGATTTTTTTGCCTGACGACGTTTGTTTCTTAAAAAGATTATGGCATTTGAGTGCTTTTCACTTTTTCTGTTTTGATCCAAACCGGTAAGGGTGAATGTAAGGCTACTGGTAAATTGTGAAGTCGTATATGTGTGCTTGTATCTCTGGCGGGTCGGCGGGTTATTATAACTTGAAAGCCTTTATTTGACAGTCACAGCTCTCTCTGTGTGACTGGGATATAAACTAACATGCAGATGAAAATTTGTATGCGGTTTGCGAGGTTATATTTACAAACATTTGCAACATTTAAAAACTTAAAACAATACTGTCGCTGAAAAGGAACAATAATATCTATAGCGATTTTTTCGTGGTTTAAATCTTGCTCAACAATTATATACATTTCTTTAATTCTAAGATTAAGTATTTAAATTTTATATTTTGAATTGAAATGTTTTCTAACAAGTTTGGTAAATTATGTTGATAATACCCCCATTCTGCGCTCCCTTTGCGACCTGAAATTTTTCTGAGCGCAGAGATCGCGCCGTCTAATTGGAATGAGGGTATAAGGTACTCTCCAAGCAGAGGTTTGGGTTTTGGGGGTATTTTTAGTGTGTTTTTAGGCTTTGTTTATCGGGGTTTCTCTTTTGCACTGAGGGGAGGGGCAAACCTATTCAAAACAGGCGATAGTGCCCCTCCCCGGGAACCATCAAACTGTCATTAGGGATATCCATTTTATTGTGGTGGATTATCACACACCTAGCCAGTCAGAAAGACATTCATTGGGCCACACGCCTCCTGCTGACTGTGCCTATTCATGCGTCTGGTTCACACCTCCTTGCAGAACAACTGTAATGTGTTGAAGAGATTAGGTTTATAGCCCATTGAAGTTTTCGACTGCCTGCAGAGGTTGGGTTTGGTGGGAAAAAAAATTCAGTGCAAAAGAGAAACCCCGATAAAAAAAGCCTAAACACACTAAAAATACCCCCAAAACCCAAACCTCTGCTTGGAGAGTAGGTATAAGGCTGTTTCTACGATAAACCCATGTAGTATTTACTTCATTACAAAATTCATTCTAAATAATTTTAATATGCATGGAAAAAGGCAAGATAATTTTTTTGTAAGATCAGAAACATTTTGCAGGTATGGTTCACATATATCTAGTAAATGGTATCTTTCAAAATTGTTGAAATTGAATTTTAGGAGTATTTTAACAACACCATATTGTGACGAGCTGTTAACACAGCACCTCTTTGAAAATTTAATTCACGGGCCTCACTATAACTTATTAAATTTTCATGGTATAGAGATAAGAAAGCCTTTTGTTAGCCACCAGGTAAACACAATGGGTGTAGCCTTACCGCATTGTACTGTTTTATATTGGAACATGAGCAATTCATTGTTGAGGCCTGCTACGCTATGAATAATTCATTGCACGGGTGTGTCTCTGCTGACTTATTTTGGCAGAAAACACAACTATGTTGACATTTTCACCAAGACGACGTATCCTATATTTTATCTACAGTTGACAGTTTTTGTTTGAAAATCTTTTAAAGGTTTGTCCGATGGTCTTTTTTCTTGCACATAAAACCACATTGAAATTGTTCTTAATATTAAGTGAAATGAAAAACAATACACAGACTGAATTGCTACTGTAAAAAATATGCAGAAATGTTGTTTAATTAATAATTCTTAGTAGGAACGAGGCACTATTAAAAAGAAACTAGATTGACAATAATGTAGCAAAAAGAATTGCGTCCCCTCTACGTTTAAAAATGGATGTCGCTCAAGCCTTTACCGCTAACATAAGAAAATCTTGTTTAGAAAGAAATAATGCTTTACTTTACTTCAATATTTTAATATTCAATATACTTACATATGTAACAAACGATGGATAGATTTTCGATGATAAAACCTTGTTTGTCAAGCTCTTTCTTTAATGCACGTACAGAAACAATTATGTAGTTTTAAGTTAAAATGAAAAGAACTTTTATGGAGCTGCGCATGAAGATACGGAGGTTTTTTTCGCATGTTGGTGTACTTAATGCAGCTGTTGTCAGCCCTTTTCTCTGTGACATGTGTTGGGACAGTTAATCTAAGATGGGGCGAGTGTCTTAAAACAAGCCCTGCTTTATTCTCTTTATCAATTTCAGTCCAATGTGCACAGTAAGGATTCATTAGGTGTGTAGGGGATGCAACCTAGAATGACTCTACTAGCCATGTTTCTACGATTCTGTAGTGTGATTTTTTTACCATCCATTTGGTTGATTGCTGCAGTATTTCAAGTAAGAGAGGGACATGTACAGTTTTATGTGTATCATTAATAAGGTTTCCTGTTAATGACCACTTTTTTATGATACCAACAGTCTGCTACAATTTATGGTGACATGAAAAGGCGCGTATATATATACGGTAATATACAGGGATACCAATTGCAATCACCAACTTTTCGTGTGTGCAGGCATTTACCTAATATTTGTACCTAGGGTACAAAATATTGTGGGTCACAATACAAAGGGCCATTTTGCATTGTACGTTATAAGCTGATAATTCTCCATGCCTGCCACAGTTTGAATAATTTATTGCACCGATGCTTCCATGTTGACTTACATTGGCTGCAAATATAACTGTGGTCATTTTTGCATCGAAGACATTTCTCCCGCAGCGTAGTTTTGAATGGGAATCGTCTAAAGGTTTGTTAGCTGGCTACGATATCATCTTCATTCCATTGATAATTAGTTTGAGAATAGAATGATAAGTGCCGAAACATGTTTACACTTGTTTGCTTCAATAAGCACAAAATACTGCCTTACAGGAAATGGGTAAGTATAGTACGCAACGTACTATAGCTTAGCCAAGAAGGTTATGTTTGTAATGGGGCATGAATATTGGCTCAGTATTAGTGTCTAAGCGTGTAGGGGCCTAGAAGTAGA